GGGGGCAGCTCTTCATGTCCAGGCAAGAACTGGCACAGCCGGCGCCACGATGTTGGATTCAGAGTGTAGAGTTGAGGGTTATTTTGGGTACCTCCCGACCCTACACCCCTAAAGCCCCTGAAACCCCTAACGCCCCTAAACCCTCAACCCTAAGCCCGGAAGCCCTGAACCCCCAAAACCCTTAAACCCCTCAAAGAAAACTTTTCAAGGCCACAGAGCGCAAACCCCTTAACCCCCGGAAACGGTACTGAGCCCTACTAAGCCCCATGAGGGTTTAAGGCTGAGGGTTCAGGGTTTAGGACCTGAATCCTATGCCTCAGCAGCGGCTTCGCAATAGTTTTCGCCGGGGCCGTATCTTTCGATGGCGGCGTTGAGGGCCTCCCAGGGTTTACAGTAACCCCCCCCCCCCAAAAAAAAAAAAAAGTTGGAACATCCTTATCCCCACACCCCAAAAGGTATACTAAAGGGAATCCCAGCTCTCATCATCCTTAAACCATGTTCCAACTTTCTGAAGTTTACTGTCGGGCTTACGAAGTTCAGCCGGGGACCGGAAGTGAAAACAAAAAAACAGCCCGACACGGCTTAGGTTTACAAGGTGCAGTGTCTTAGAGGTGCAGGGAAACAGGCTGTTGGTAATGATATTGGAGTCTTACACCCCTACTTGTAGCTTCCCATGAACCTTCAAGCATGAATGCTAGGTGAACCCTAAGTATAAAAAACACACACACACACACACACACACACCTTTTCTGGTATACATATTGGCATGTTCCCCCTAATTCTAGCAGTCCTTCATAGGGGGGGGTACTATAATGCCTATTAAGGACTGCTAGTAGAAAGGGGAACATCGCAAGGTATACAATATGAACACTTCTAACCCTTGGCATCCCCTCACTCGCCAGAGGTCCGAAACCATACACGCCCAAAGCTCCGCAAATCTAGCGCAAACCAAAACCCCAACCTCTCCCCCCCCTTGCGCCACCCACCCGCAAAACCAAACACAACCCGGCCCGGAACTCTTTCAACCCATAAGAATGGCTTATGTGTACGCTTGCTTTAGGGGCTAGGGTCCATTCTCGTAGCGCTCTAAGCCCTACACCCGTAAGCTCATGCCCTCTTCCCCCGCCCAAACCACATCAAACACATCTGACAGCCTTTTCCAGGCGCTTCTTCTCCAGAGGCTTGAGTTTCAAATCCGCGGCGAAGGTGTCAAACACCTGCACAGCTTTTTTCGGGTTTTTGGTGTTCATGGTTTAGGGTGCTAGATTGGGATGTCGCCCCCTATACTAGCAGTCCTTGATCTGCAATAGAGTACCCCCTGTTATAATCCCTACCAAGGACTGTTAGTATGAGGGGGAGCAGCCCAAGGTCCACAGGGTTTAAGCTTTAGGGTTTGGGGCTTTGGAAGCCGGCCCTAGGCTTAATTGCCAGGCCCTTATGGTTCATGTCGAAGCCACCCATGTCAAAAAGTGAGCCCACACTCCTTCAAGGCTCGTAGGGTAAGGGAGGTTGAGGGTTCGGTTCCCGAGACGATATTTCCTGGCCTCCAGGACCCGTACTTCCATGATTATAACATTTTTGCGAGTAACGATGGGAATATGTAATACTCCCGTGGGGGATTTATACTTGGGGAGGGCACTGCTGGGTTGCCCCAACGCGAAGAAAACATGCAGAGCCGTCCCCAGAGCCGTGTGATAGTCCCGGGCTCCATCTTTGGGGTTTGGGGTCCTTTATGATCTTACCTGCAAAGCCCCAGCATGGCGATGTAACGCTGAACCCTGAACCCTAAGCAGCGCCTAAGCCCTAAACCCTCCTTCAGTCCTATATCCCATGTACCGACCTAGCCGAGGCCACGAAAACCCCAAACCACCAACCCGAAGACCGGACACCCCCCCCTAAAATCCAGCGCCTGCATCACGTCACCCAAGCATTCAGCACCCCGCGATTGGCACCACGCGACGCCCTGGGAGTCACTCTGAACTTTGAGGCTGCATGGGTTTTAGGGTTTTTAAGGTGTGGGCATGTGTGGGCCATGATTTTGTTTAACGTCCTTGTCTGTAACTATGAGGGTCCTATATACTACTTGTCAGGGCTCCTAGAGAGTCTCCAAAACCGGTTCGGGCCAAGGGCTTCCGTACGCCTCCCCAAACCATTGCCAATCCCCCCGGCAGCTTATCATAGAGCTCATCATAAACCTTGAACAAACTGCACTGAAACCCTGGCTGACACCTGCTGGAAAGCTCTGTGCCAGCCCACCGGCGCAAAAGCAATTGGCGGGCACCGGGGGGCCAGGTAAGCAAACCCTGAACCCTATACCCGAAACCCTAAACCCTCAACCCCAACAACTTCCTTCAACGTCCCCGCTCTGCCATTGCAGGAGGAAATTTTACAGCGGTTCCTTCGGTATCGCCTTGAATCAAGGCAGTCTCTCAAGCTCACCGTGAACCATTCACTCTTGGCTTTGCTGAAGCACTGCTTGGTCCGCAGAGAAACCTCCGAATCTTCTTCGAGCTTACAACTGGAGTATAGAAAAGGTCCTAGGTGCGCAAGGCTCAGTCTTGAAACCCAAGGTCCCCGCACTGGTTGCAACACTGAACTGACTTTGGCCCTTGGGTCTTGAGCATCTGAGTCTACGTGCGTGGTCGCTCCTTGAGACTGAGTAAGGGGTATGCTTAGTTTTGGTGCTTTCGCGGTCCGTAGGTGTAGGGTTTAAGGTTCAGGGCCCCCATACCCTCAACTCGTAGGAGAAGAGCTCGCCTGATTCTGGATGTCACGCTTCATGTTGGCGACCGCAAAGGCCTGTTGCTTGGAGGGCAAATTACAAAGGAAGCGCACCCCTACTCCCCAACCCCTCAAGCCAAACCCCAGAAAATGAAAGAATTAATTACTGATCCATTGTTGGCTCTGGTACGTAAGCCCCAAGCCTTAAACCCCAAAAGTGCGGATGTAGGCTTGAGGGTTTAAAGGCTGACATGGATGTAGAGGGCTTGCAGGGGTTTAGGGTTTATGGGTTTATAGGGGTTCAGGGTTTAAGGTTTAGGGTTTAGGATCTTATGGGCTTCAGGTTTATAGGGCTTTGTGGATGAAGGGGTGTGGGTTTGTTCAGGAAACGGAAGCTCTCCAAGCCCTCCATGAACAATGCTTGGCTCCACTCAGGAGGGTAGCTATAAATTAAACTTTTAGCTGCCTTAATAGGAAACCCAATAAACCCAAAAAAGGTAAGGATCTAAAGTTAACAGTAAGGTACCACAAAGAATGGGGCCACTACAGGGTCAGCTCCAGAAGTTCTCGTACAAAGTGCCCGGCTTGAATTTGCAACGGGAAGCGCTTACTCTCCTACAAGCCTTTCCCTCGAGTTCCCTCTCTACTGCTGTTTCCGTGGAAAGGGTGGACAATTAGGGGGAGGGGGGGCAACCAAAACATCATGACTGGTGCGACTGTGGTTGTTGTCGTCTTTTCCGCACACGTACTGCTCTCCCAAGAAATGGCCGCACCTAGAACCAACCCCTTACCATGACAGGATGTTCGACCGCCCTTGAATGCCTGCTCTGAAATCCAAAGAGCCTTGAGCCCTCAAACCCCAAACCCTGAAATCCAAGACCTCAAAAACCACCAAAAATCAGGAACTTCCCCAAAACCCCTGCCTCTCTGAGACCCTCGATGGCGCCCTCCTCCTCAGCGTCTATTTAGCTTTTGGGGGGGGGGGGGGGGTGGTGGCGGGGGGGGGGGGGGTGGTGGGGGGGGGGGGTGGTGGTGGGGGGTGGGGGGTGGGGGGGGGGTGGTGGTGGGGGGGGGGGTGGGGGGGGTGGGGGGGGGGTGGGAGGGGGGAGAAGGTTTAGGGTTTAGGGCGGGGGCATTTAGGACTTAAGGCACAGGGGTTTACGTAGGCATTTCTTGGGATTGAAGAGCCTTCATCAGTCCAAAAGGATTTAGGGGTCTCAAGGGATGGTTTATTTCATTCTATTTTTTTATGCTTTATTATATTACACATATATACATATATATATATATATTATTATTATTTTTTCTTCTCGACCTTGCACTGTGGGCTCTGGGGGGGAGGTTCGGTTGGTTGGGGATTTTGGGAGTTGAGAGTATTTTGGGTTGTTTTTTACTGTATGGTCCCTCATATGGGCCCTTAAAAAGGGCACCCCTGAAATACCATAAAAAAGGCCCATGCGACTACTCTTAAAGTCTAGTGTTTAGGCGGGTTTAGGGATATGTATGGGCCCTGAATTTGAAACCCCCTAAACTCGAAACCCTAAACACTAAACCCTGACATAAACCTTAAATAGCCCTTATTTGCCCCGTATCCCTCAGGCGCCAGACTTCAGAGCCCGTTGACTGACACCCTTTGACTAACACGGACATGTGATTAGCCGTAGATTTTTGTTGTTCATATATATATATATATACATATATAAATATAAATATAAATATATATATATATATATATATATATAAATATATATATATCTCATTTTTTTGTTGGGGAGTTCCCTTGTTCTATGGGGTAGAGGGGATGTAAAGAGAGTCGGGAGTAAGGCACATGGAAAATAAAGACCCATTTGCAGATCAACCCAAGCGTAGCTAAAACCCGAGGCCCTAGACCCTACACCCTAAAACATAAGGCAGCTTCACGTTCTTATTACTATTTGCTTAAAAAATCATAATCCCTATATTACCCTTAATAAGGAAGAACATTTTTTCGGGGTGATTAAGCAACTAGTAGTAACGTTCTTATCCGGATCATGCTCTTGGCCCATTCGCAGTGCCGAGCCTGAAAACTTCTTTGGGTCTAGCCTCTGACTTGAACAATATGCCGTGGGGTAAACATACCTTTTGACTGCCTTGCAAGTGCAACACAGCTCTTTGATGACCACTGCGTGTCACAAGGTGGTGTGGCATGCCACATTTGTTGTGGACTGCCTGCTGGTGGCGTGCATCAGTTCGCTCCTGTCACTGGCGAGATGGCTGCACTTAAGCCATAAGCATGTACACTATAACTCCCGCACGAAGTCTTGAAGCACTCGCTCGGTGGCGGCACGGCAGGAATCGCGGCAGGCATCGTAGATGTCGTGGGGGTTGCTTGGAGCGGGACGGCTGCTCGAAGCATCTGGAGATGCTAATGTCTCCGTTATAGCATGTGTCTTGACCTTAGCTGTCTTTGAAACCCCTGTGAAACATACTGGTTCAATGGCACCCCTAATAACAGAACCAACTAAATGTCAACAATGCTTGCCAGAACGGTCTAGCGACACCGCTAAAGGTGTATTCGCCGAAGCTGCAGAATATGGAGGCATCTTGGAGCAAGGTGCAGTGGCAGTTGAAGTGCTCGTTGTTGGCACCTGACATTGTCCCATAGAGGTGCGTTTCACTCTGACTTTGTATTCGGATCGTGCGCGCCCCATCCCACGCAGGAATGGTGTAAAAGCCCGTGTCGCCGATGAGCGTCACAGAGACCTTGTCGTGGGTGATGAAACCTTCGCGATCACCAGGGTGCTGGAATTCTTTGCCTAACCAATGGCCAGACCACATGCTGCACTCGACCTGCTGAAGAAGTCGAGCGTTCAGCAGAACCAACAATGTCCCAGACGCAGCCTTCATCGTCTTTTTCACTGTCCCTCTACGCGGCTCTCGGGCTCCTGAAGCCAGAACACCCCCCTCGGCGAGCAATGATGATACGTGCGGACACGAAGAAGATACCATGCCCCGGTCTTTCCGGACAAGCACACAACTTTCATGGCGAACTTGTTCGAAGAACTTCTTGCACTGGTCGTAGGAAAAATAAACCTTAACCCTAAACCCTAAACCCTACACTCTAAACCCTAAACCCAAGCTGTAGGCATCTGGCAGCCTCCCCGCAAGCCTAGCCAGCGTTGAGTCCGTACGCAAACTTAAAAACCGATCTACATTGCGGTAGGCATCCTGATATGAAGTGAGGTACGTTCGTCGGTTAGACAATCTACAGGAGATGATCTTGGCTGCTATAGCCCGAAAAAGAACTAGTGGGTTCATAACTATTTCCAATACGTTCTCCGCCCGAAACCCTAAACCCTAAACCCTAAACCCTAAACCCCAGGGTCTTGGGGCTGAGGGTCTAGGGACAGCGCCTCAGAGGCCCGAATGCTCAGCAAGAAGGCCCAGAACAGTTCATCCATCAGGGAACATGGGGCAATTTCCCAAGTTCCTACCCTCATCTCTTTACTAACTCTTGTAGAGTAAGGAATCAGGCAATGAGGACACTGTATATTCCCCCTCCACAACCCTTTGAACCTAACCACCCGAAACCCTAAACCCTAAACCCTAAACCCTAAACCCTAAACCCTAAACCCTAAACCCTAAAATCGGGAAACCAGCTCCGAACTCCCCATTGAAAGACAGGAGGTGCCCAGAAGATGGCCAAACAAGGCTAAATCTAAGGGCTTGTAGAATACTTACAAACACTTGCCATGAACCTTCGTTTAGGGTTTAGGGTTTAGGGTTTAGGGTGTAGGGACACCCTAACGCTTAAACCCTAAACCCGTCCCCAGCCCAGAAACTTTTCTCCGAGTTGCTGCGCGCCGGATGTAGCATGGAGGACCCCCCAAGCCCTGGACCCCAAACCGTTGCTTTGCTGATCTAGGGTTTGGGGTTTTAGGTTTAGGGTTTTAGCTTTTAGCGTTTTAGGGCTTTAGGGTTGAGGGTTTTTGGGTATTGGGGGTTGTAAGGAGCTCTCTAAATTCCACATCCCTTATGGGTAGGTTTCAGGCTGTAGGGCTTCAGGGCTTACTTGAAGGTTCATGGTGAGATATCTGGACATCTTGCCCCCCTGTTTGACAATATATCAGGCTTAGAACAAACAGCTCCTAAGTCCATCTCGAAAGGTGGCACCTGGGGCTTGCGGGTTTGGGGACCCTAAACCCTAAACACTAAACCCTAAACCCTCCTTAGGGTTTTGAGCTTCTGGGGCTTTGGGTTCTCAACAACTTCGCATCAGAGAGGGCTTTGCATGACAGCGGAGCTCCCAGTAGTAGGGCTTTGTTATATGACTGCGGGGCTTGGCTTTCATGGCAAAAACCCCCTATAGCTCCTTTAGGGTTTGGGGTTTAGGGTTTAAGGGTATGTCAACCCCACACGCCCGAAACTCTAAACCCCCCTGTAGCCCCCAATTTCATCCAATCAAAGACCGCTCGGTGGGTTTGGGGGCCCTGTAAGAACTCAACCTTCCATGGGTTAATCGAGCTATGAGGGAAGTAAAGGGTCCATAGAAGACTTTTCAACTTACTTCCTCCAGATCAGCCCTAAACCCTAAACCCTAAACCCTAAACCCTAAACCCTAAACCCTAAACCCTAAACCCTAAACCCTAAACCCTAAACCCTAAACCCCCCTATCGGTTTGGGGCGTCGGGTTTCGGGCGGCCGGCACCTACGGCCAACTCTGCTTCTCCTGCCACAGCCGACTTGCTTTCTTCGGAGTGACGACTTTCGGCCCAAACCCCCTGACCCCTAAACCCTATGGAGGGTTTAGGAATAAACCCTAGAGGGTTTAGGAATAAACCCTATGGAGGGTTTAAGAATAAACCCTAGAGGGTTTAGGAATAGACCCTACAGTAGAGGGTTTAGGAATAAACCCTAGAGGGTTTAGGAAGAAACCCTAGAGGGTTGAGGAATCTGAATCTAGGGTGTAGGGATTTTGGCTTTGGGTTCGCTATTTTTTGGGGTTAGGGCAGTCAGGCTTCAGGGTTCAAAAGGTGTGATATGCATTAGAGGTGAGCTGGTCATGTCCCAGCGAAACTTCAGGGACTACAATGGCACCCCCCCCCCCCCCCCCCCCCCCACGGAGGCTTGAGAATGAACGGTTGGGAGTGCATGCCAAGTTCTCCATGGCCGCTTATTTCAACTTCTATCTACCAGGCTACCCCTTCAGACTTACAGTTTTGCTCCTCACAAATAGAAGCAGCAATTTGTTGAACACAATCACTCAAGTAAGCACGGTCTAAATTACAACAACCTGACCTCCGGAAAGCAGGCCGGTAAACTCATCCCATGGCTTGCTGTCCGGCAGGCGCCAGCCGTGCTGCGTGATCGTCCTTATATAATAATAAGAATAATAATACTTGTAATTAGTCATAGTAATGATAATAGTAATCAAAGCAATAATAGCAATAATAGCAATAATAGCAATAATAGCAATAATAGTAATAATAGTAATAATAGTAATAATATTAAGAATAGTAAGAATAGTAATAACAGTAATAATAGTAATAATAATAATAACCTCTCCTTTGTATACAAATTTCTGAAATGCTCAAGCGAGGCTCTGAACCCTCAACCCTGCAAGAAAAAATGAACCCCAAAACCCTCCTCACCTTTCAGATGCACCCTAAACCCCAAACATTTGCTAAGCCACAAAGATGCCAGGCTGGCTCATCTTTGTTTCAACCAGGTTCTGCAGGAGTCCGAACCCTCCAAGACACAGGGAAAAGGGTACGTGCTTCCAGACTGGAAACCCTAAACCCTAAACCCTAAACCCTAAACCCTAAACCCTAAACCCTAAACCCTAAACCCTAAACCCTAAACCGTGCAGCTCGGCTGGAAAATTCAGAAGCCACTCCAAAGGCGGTTCTCCTGCTACTCGGAGAGCAACAACTGGAAAACACCACGCCAGGGGAAGCGGTCAAATGAAACTGGGCTTAAGGGTTTTGAAGGGTTTAGGATCTACTCGGTGTGTTCCTAAAGCCTAAACCCAGCACAATGCAGGGTTTCTATTAATACCTTTCTGAGGCAATCCATTCCTGCGCACGTGGCGCAACCTCACAGTACACTCACAAAGGCTTCTTCGGGGGTTTAGGCAGAGCTGAGGAGTCTAAGTCATCCCAGAAGCGGGGCTACAGGTTGGTATTGGGATGTTCACCGTTATACTAACAGTCCTTCATATGGAGTATAATAATAGGGGGCACTATCATCCTTCATAGGGATAGCGGCCACCGGACATTTCTTGAAATCCGAGTGCTCGCTGGAGGCACTTCGACTTCGGCCGGCTGCCTACCGAATTCGCACCCTGGCGCGGCCCAAAGGTACCTCAACTTTCTTGGCTGCTCCTAGCAGGGTAGCTATCCATTTTGATTTTTAGCTGCCTTGTTTCTTAACCCAATAAACCCGAAAAAGGATAAAGATGTAAAGTTACAGTAAAGCACCACAAAGGTAACTTGTGGTGGCTCTTGGTAGCGAAACTCACTGCCCCGTGTACATCTTATCAAAGGGGCTACTATGGGCAACACAAGGTAAACCCTAAACCCTAAGCCCTAAACCCTAAACCCTAGCTCCCAAAGCCTCTACAATACATAAACACGATAGTAAAGCAAAAACATCAGCTTCCACTGTGCACCTGAACCTTATTAGCATCCCAGAGCCGAAAAGGGTTTTTAGGGCTTAGCCTAAAAACTCTGAAAGAAAAAAAACGTTCCCACTCAGGAAACTGTTCAACATCCCAAGGACAGAATAAGACTGAACTCCTGAACCCCTGAACCCTAAACCCTAAATTCTAGAGATCTAAATCCCGAAGCCCTGAGCCCTAAAACACCCAGACATGCCGCGCCAAGGTCAGGATTGTCAGAACTGCTTGGCAGAACTCGGACTTGCAGCTGCCGGAGCAACTGGGACATACTTCAGCTGCTGTCATTCTGGGCTTAGGGGCTTAGGGTTCCGGTTTTCAGGGCTCAAGTTGTGGATTTCCCTTTATGAAAGTAAAAGGTTTCCTTTGCTGCCTGATGGGTGAGGGGAACCTGGCCCCTTGCCTTTGTCCTATACAGATTTTAAATGACTGCCATGGGCTAGTAGCCAACTCACCCCTTCCTCCCAACATCGTCCCCCCCCCCCCCCCCCCCCCCCTCTGTCAGCCAATCCTCTCGTGAACATAAGCCCATTTCCCGCTGAAGTGTACGCGGCCGCTCTCTCTCTCTCTCTCTCCCGCTCTCTCTCGCTCGCTCTCTCTCTCTCTCACTTTCCCTGCCTCCCTCCCTCCCTCCCTTCTCTCTCTTTCTATAAATCATGCTCCTCATGCTTCGCGTGCCCCCAAAAAAAACCGCACTTTGGAGAACTGCCCATCTTCTGGTGTACCATATCTCGGGGGAGTTTAGGGTTCAGGGTTTACGGTTTAGGGCTTAGGGTAAGAGAGCAAGTTGGGACGCAGGCTGTGCCGACCCAAGAAAGTCTATAGTGCTTGTCCTACGGGGTTTCAGGCTTGCAGTGTAGAGTGGAAGGTCTAGGGCACCTCCCCCCCAAATCCGACACCCAAGCGCATCCCCAAACACAGGGCTCTTCTAGATTCTGGCCCCCTGTTAGGCACCTTTGTCTTACTTCTCCAATAACCAAGGAATAATCAACAGGCTAGTCTTTCCCTTGCTACACAATACAGACACTCCAAAGACAGCTTTAAGTTCATGATGCACCCTGTAAACTAAGCCCCTAAAGCCGAAAAGAAACCTGTGTCAAAGGGATCCCAATTCAGAGTGAAAAACATAACTCAACTTTGGGTCCAGTTGCTACTGCACGGGGCGAACTACAACGCAGAAGGCGCTATCCCGGCTCCCTTTTGGGGTTGCCTTGGGTTACGTGCTTCAGGG